CCTCATTGCATATGTCCATCGATGGACCCTCACACAGGTTCCAAACCCATGCGGTGCTGCTGCACTGCCTCCATTGCTTGGGAACTCCTGTTTTAGACAGGAGCATGGCTCTTGTCACAGTGCCGCCAGGAGCCATGGCTCCAGCACGGTCTATGGACGGGCCAAGCCAGCATACAGATGAACTTGTGTTGTTCAAAGCAAACTCATGTAACTGGGTAAGATCACTCAACAGCATGCTATGTATAAGCCCACCTGAATCGGGCTGCAGGTCAGCTTGGAATGCACGCAAGTCCCCTTTCTGACCTATCCACATGAATTGCAAATATGAAAATATGTAAACTTCTGAAGTACATAATTATACGAAAATTCATAGGATGATATTCACACCAGAGCCACCATAAAGAGAAAAATAGTATAATACATTCTAACATGTTTATTTCAAAAACCATTTTCAAGAAGAGTAACAAGAAAATGTAGGGTGTCACTTTACTGTATACAAATACTCATAGTTGAAGAAATAATATGCAACGTATTGGTGTAGTTAGTTCAGGACATTCCATATATTTCTAAACACAAACGTGTTTGTGCAGAATCTCTACTGAGAACACAAAGAACTCAAAACGTCTGAGAGGTGTCAGCTCACATAAAAATAATGAGCGATACGATAATGGTAAAATGGGAGAAAAGGAGCGGAGCCTAATAATGAGTTTAGGCGTACCCTTTTATGTAATGCCTATAGAATGTACGCTGAATGTGTACGTATATTGTTAAAACAGCAACCGCTCCCAAATTAGGCACTAATCAGTAAAGATGGTCAAGTAGTCACTGTCAGTAATATGCTAGATTAGACATGGATATTTCTCTTCTTATTGGCATTTGTCCCAGAGCAGCTTGTAGGAAAAGAGGTAAAGTTTGAAACAATATAACTAAACACTTTTATACTGTATCGCAACATGAGGCTCATTGCTGTAGGGGTAATGTAGAAAGCCCAGAGTTTTGTAAAACTTTATAACACCCGATATACCTCGGGTTGAGTAGAATGCCAGTCCTTTGGGCCACAACACAAAATCCCTAAGCTCCTGACCCTACTTTGACTAAGTCCTCCAAAAATACTCGTTCCACATTCCCATGAACGTTAATATATGCCTGTCTAATCTAGCATATCACTGACAGTGGCTTCTTGACCATCTTTACTGATTAGTGCCTAATTTAGGGGCGTTTGTTGCTTCAAACAATATACGTACACATTCAGCATACATTCTATGGACATTACATAATAGGATACGCCTAAACCCCTTGTTAGGATCCCCTCATTTTCATGTATCATTATCTTATCAGTCTTTAATTTAATGTTGGTTGACACCTCTCTGAAGGTTCGAGTTCGCTGTGTTCTCACTTTTCTTTTAGTAATATGTGGGATGTCATTAGCTAAGTATACCAATATGTTCTCTATCATTTCGTCAAGTATTTGTGTATGATAAAGAGACAGCTCCCCTTTTCCAGTTTCTCTTCTTGAAGCAGTTTTTTGAAATATGCATTTTGAAACATGTTATTTTCCTCTATTTTTAATGGTTCTGCTGTGAATACTATCCTAGACTTTTTTGTATAATTGTGTATCTAAAAGCAAAACGGTTAAACCTTATTTTCACACCGGAACTCATCTAAAAGATTTGTACCGTGCTGGGAAAATCACAATGAGAAGGAAAAAAATCAGAATTTTGTGCTTGCTGTAACAAAATATCTGCTGTTTATTATTTTGGCAGGACTCATGCAATAGCTCATATTTACACAACCAGATTGCTTTATGATATGCTCAGTGCTGAAATAACTTAGACAGAGAAACTATGGGTGGGAGGTGGAGGTGCAGGTGCGAGCTTTGAGAATTTGGGAGATCCTCTTACTTCTTTGGGTCTATTAGTTGACATTTAGGAGACAGAAGCAAACATGTTTTCTTTATTTTGTTTGCTTTATTAATCTATAAACTTTTATTCTGCTGCAGTATTAATACATCTGGATGCTGACAGATGGTGGATTCTTCTCAACCATTTTGGCAATTTTACATAATGCGTAATTGTTTAAAAAAAACGATAATATTTGCAGACATGCAGCTGGGGTGTAGCCATTCATGCAAAAGGATTAAAAAAAAAACAAATAAAATATATATCTATCTAATCTATTATTCTAAAATGAAGTTTTTTTTACATGTGTTGTCAATGGTATGACATTAGATACGGAATACTGCACCCTCATTAGCTCTATGCTATCGATTTACTAACTGACTAAAGGAAGTCCCCATGGAAATCAGAAAACAGTGGTCACTTCTCATGTGATCTGTGAATAAAATCAGTATTTAGTGGCTGCCCTCTAACCGTCAATCATCCTTTTATCCTTCAAATAGTTTTTTGGTTTTTTTTGGTTTTTGCCATGGACAGAACTTACATAACAGCTCATTCATTGGCATTTTGTTTGCTTCATGATTCAACAGTATGCAGTTTTGGAGTTAATTTTTTTGGGCAAGTTGCTGATTACCTAAAATTCACTGAATCGTGTTTTGGAGGAAACCGAGTGCACAAGTCTAGCTCGTAGTAGCACCATTGACCTGGAGGGAGAATGACATGGATGTAGCAGTGTTTAAAGGAGGAAAAACAAGCAGTTCCGTTTTAGAGAGAGTGAGTTTAAGGACTTGAGCTGTCTTTCAATAACAAATGGAAGTAAGTCAGCTTGTGACATGATTCAAGAGGTGATTAGAGAGATCTGAGGTAGACATGTACATCTTCATGCCATCAGCTTTAAATTGATACTGGAAACAAAATTAACTGATTAGTTTACCAATTAAGGCAGCTTACATTGAGAAGGGAGCTGAGAACCAAACGAATATGGGCAAAAACAGAACCTTGGGGCATGCTGACAGAGACGAGTTGTGGAATAGAGGACGTGCTGGAAAATGAGACTCAGAAAGATAGGTTGAAGGAGAACAATGAAGGAACACAGAACTTCTGATTGGAGTTAAGAAGAGTGAGAAGTAGATGATGGATGACAGTTTGAAAGCTAAACCAAACTAGGTAAGTAAAGAATTAAATTCAAGAATTGAATACACATCAATCTCAAGAACCTTGGAGTAGGTTGGAAATGGGTTGCTAGTTGGATGAAGAGTTTGAGTTGAGTTTGGACTTTTTTCAAGAACTTGAATAGATGAAAAAGAAAACAGTTCAACAAAGAACAAATAAGTTTCAAATAATCAGGCTAGTGAAAAGAGTAATACAATATGATAAAGCTTTGTCCTGAATTATAACATTGTATTAGACACATGACCAAGTCGGAATTTAGTGAATAGGTATCGTTTTTTTTTTCTCAATAAAGAAGTTTATTCCTTGCATGAGATCCAGGATATTTTATTTTGAATGAAAACAGCACTTATTATTTTTTTCATGTTAAGTTTTATATTGTTGTAAGAAATTGCATGGATTTGACATGTAGGTTGGATTATTCAGCCCAATACATAGTCATGTTTATTTAATTTTACTATCTTGATTATTGTGTTTAAACAGATCTACCACTATATTTTTAAAAAGCAATCTTAGAATGTTTTTTGAACTATAAATGGAAAAATAAATGTACTCTTTGTGATAAAATTAAAGTCCTACATTGCATGCAAACCACAAAGGATATTACTAATTATTTATAAAACAAAGAACTTATACTATACAACACACCCCTTTTACCATCATTGCAACCTCAAAGAAAAATAAGTGGTTACTAAGTACCAGCTCTTATTCCAAATGGAAATGAATAATCAAACCATGAAATTCCCAAAGCCATGGTAGACATTTCTCAGTGGTTTCTCCAAAAACCATGAAAGTTGACTTGTCATCGTCATTCCTCTATTTATTCATATTATACAGTTCAGTATAATTCAAGTTGGTGGTGGAAAAAAAAAATCAATACATCTATTTCAGGAGAATCTTTTTTCTGATGAAATCCTGATGAGGTCAAGTGACAATGTAGTTAGTTTATACTATCATAAGCTTTGTTATCTTAATTTACCCTTATAAGGGCAGATTTTATAGATAATGTTGCTGTTTGGCTAAACAATACAATATGTTTTAGTTTGGAACCTAGGAGATAAAATCATGGACTACGTTATAGTATTCGATGTCTAGAAAGGTGATTTTGTAATTGTCTTTACTGAAATTGAAAAAAAAATATATATATATATACATATATCTGTACCCTCAGAAACTGCTCATTTAGAAACATAGAATGTGACAGCAGATAAGAACCATTCGGCCCATCTAGTCTGCCCAATTTTCTAAATACTTTCATTAGTCCCTGGCCTTATCTTATAGTTAGGATAGCCTTATGCTATGTGGCTCTTTTTTTGTAGTTTTTCATGCTCCATCTATGTTGGCTAGTAAATTGATCAACTGTTCTTGGTGGAAACTAAAAAAAAAATTGTTTTAAAGGTTCAAGTTGATGGTCTTGGGTTTTTTTTTCAACCTGGATTATTATGTAAGTGCAAGTCTGTTGTGGTGGAGGTGTCCAAAAGAACATCTTGTAACATTATCATTTGATTTATTCAGTGTTTTTGCTATTTGATCATATAAGTAATACATTTTAAAGACATTGTTTCCCACCACAGTTTTCAGGTTCCTGTATTTCATTGTATCACTATAGCTATCACGGTGCCATACAGACAGGAAGATGTGGTCACCCCACAAGTGCCAAACAGGGGATTTAAACCTGGGTTCTTCATGTGCCTGCTAAACTGCCTCTAAGCCACAGCAGATTCTGTTATTTTGAGTAATACTATCCTTGTTATACCTGTCTATGTCTGCATCACTGGGGGCTGGACTTCTTCTGTGACTATTACCTGTACTTCACCTGAGGCAGATCGCTCATCAACCAGGGAATTTAAGCACTGCCTTGCCCTGGGAATTTTGTCAGTTCTTTGATCCTGGTGTATGTGTTCAGTTCCTGTTTTCTAGTCAAGCAAAAAAAGGGGGATGATCTGCTGAACCAATCATAAATAAAACAACATAGCGTATAACTGTGTATGATGACAAATTGTAGAAGTTATATTCACAAATGGCCACTCACACTTTTGCTGAAGTTTGCAATCCTTGAATATTTTCCTATTCAAGGCTTGCAAACTTCAGCAAAAGTGTGAGTGGCCATTTGTGAATATAACTTCTACAATTTGTCATCATACACAGTTATACGCTATGTTGTTTTATTTATGATTGGTTCAGCAGATCATCCCCCTTTTTTTGCTTGTGTTGTGTGGAAGACAAGAGGAAGTCTTTTGGGATACTATTGGAAATCTTATCCTATACAGGAAAGTTCCTTTCTGTTGATATAAATTAAGCACTTATTACACTGTGGTGGGTGTTCACACACATTGTTTCTTCCTGTTTTCTAGTCTCCTGAACTTATATTCTATACTTCTATGGCTTCTGACTTTGGGTACACTCCGTTTTTTTTCTGACCTCTGGCATCCCTTGACTTTGGCTACATTTCAGTTATCCTGACCTCTGCCATCCTTTGACTTTGGCTATCCCTCATCTATCCTGCTGTTTGTGTCCTTCTCGGTACTGTGTTGGAACACCTTTCCTGCATTGCCCCTGTGCACAGATTCACAGTCCAGATTGCTTCTTACCTGGTCACCTTGGACTGCACGGGTGAGAAAACATATCTGAGCTACAGACTCCCACCTCAGGTAAGACCCTAACAATATCATTTTTAAAAAATTTTTTTTATAAACAAACAAAACCATGTTACGTGTTTAATCCAGAGCACAATTAAGGTTCTTCTCATTCTCTGCATATACCACCTTACTGCAGTTTTTAGTCATATGGTCAGTCCTTTTCTATGCAGTTGTTTAGAGCTCCAAAATCTTAATGGACTAAAGAGCTACCAGCTTTGTCACTCCCTCATATTCTCATATGTTATCTTACAAAGACAAGTATGTATTTGTCTATGAGAGTATCCTTAAGACTCACCTTTCCTGATTCCTCTTAGGTGGAAATCTTTTTTATACACCATGGATTCCTCAGTAGGATTGGGTAATTTGGGATGAGTAATTCCAACTAGTTACATCTTATAGGAATTCTCTTTCATCAATCCCTGGATGGCAAGAGGTGTAACCTATTTTCATTCGTGTTTCCAAATCTCACAGCAAAAATATAACCACCCTTCTTCATGCCTTGTTTTGACTGTCAAATTACTAAACATCCATATTTTTCAGTGAAATCCTTCAGAGATCAGATTTAACTATGCTTTTGGACGAAGCAATGTGGCATAGAACATTTAGATAAGTTTACCCCATTGTGTCATCATCTTGTTGAATGATGAATGGATTCAACTATTTCTACATCAGAGTGGCAGCGATGGGAGAGATGGATGTATAAGAAGACTTTACGCTTATGATTGCTACAATATGATCAATATTATAAGTGATTTTTTGGGGGTGTTCATATCACAGATTAGATTTGCTTGAAGAAATAAACTGAGTGAAGGGTCCCCTATAAATCATACAAATAAAGGTTATCCCACACACGTGTCCACTTCGCTCCCTCTCTACGTATGCAGCAGGATGTGGGTTTAGAAAATAACCCAAAAGGTTCTGGCAAAGCATCATGGAAATTGTAGTCCTTCCACATCTGGAGAGCTACTTGCTGCCTAACCTTGATGTGTTTGTTTGTACTTTAAAACATATTATCACAGTGCAGTGCATAAAAGAATTACTGATGTTGGCATTGCACAAATAAAACTTATATAAACTTTATTGTAACATGAACTCCTTCAGCAACAATGTAGTTAATGATAAAAATTAAACCACATAATGATTTTTTTAATGTAACATTACAGTCTTGTATTTGTCATAAATTGCCTTTAGCTAGTACTTTATTATTTCTCATATACATTTTACCCCTAATATTCGCATACTTCGGTGGAAAGTAATTTTCTAAAGTGCTCATTAGGGAGAGAGGTGATAATTTTTAATCCCTGAGTAACCATTAACAACGTTAACACTAAATATATAAAACCCAAATGAACACATCATTTAAAAATCCAATCTATTAGCTTAAGTATAATACGTAATTCTAGATGTTGTATGTTTTTATATGAATATAAATTGTTGAAACACGGACTCATTCATATCCTCACTTCTACAAAATACACCCAAGCTTTGTACTCCTGGGAAGGGAGTGAGCTGATATTTTAAAACTGGAATGGCATAAGTCTGAAATAAGATTTGTTTGGGTTTTAGTTTACATGAAGAATATTGAAAATCACTGTTGCGGTTTTGTTTTTTTAGTTTTTTAGTTTTTTAAAGACATTGTTTAGAAATAATGAATCATTTATCTCTTTGGTGTTTTTTGGTAATAAATAACACCCGTAGTCTCAATTTAAGTTGTGCAATAATACTTGATAATTATTCTGACCTTTAAAATATAACTAAATCTTTTATTGCAGTGAGTCTGTTGTCCATTACAATAATGTTTAGCAAGCTTTAAACAAAACAAGAAACAGGGAGTTCATATTATTTAACATGGTATAAAAAAGGATAGCAAAGCCAATTTCATGGGTGTCTGCTTAAAAACTATCAATTAATCATTAGCTGAAGTGCAAGATGTCACTTAATGTAATACATTGACGAAAGTTTCATTTTGATAAATTAGACTTTTCCAATTGTTGAACGCACGGTTATATTTTTGTTAAAAATTTGGTTAGATCAGACATAGTTAGCAAGTCTAATGTCGTCAAATCATTTTACCAAGTGAATGTCTCCCAGCTGATTTTTAAAGATGTTTCGAACTAATATTAATGCAGTAATTACAAAGAAAAACTTTTTGGTTTACCTGTTAGTGTTAAAGGAGGGTAACATAAAATATTGTGTTAGGGGGCTTCTAAGCTCTCTGGTTCTTAAACCATGGATGTTCAACCTTTTGGCTTCCCTGGGCCGCATTGAGAGCAGAGGAATTGCCTTGGGCCACACTTAAAATCTATAACGTAAATAATGTATAAAATTAAACTTCAAAAGCCCTTCTTAAATTTGTTTAGATGATAACTCCCTTATTTGTTATCCTATTGTGCGATTGCCATATTTAAGGATACCAACTTAGGGAGCTATCTACTAAACACATACACATGTATATACATATGCACACATAACCACATACAATCACAGACCTATAGACACATACATACAGTCACAGACCCATATACACATACATAGTCCCAGACCCATATACACATACACGATCACAGACCCACACACATATATGATCACAGACCTATGCACCCAGTCACATACACACACAAACACACACAATCATAGACCCACACATACAATCACAGACCTATACACGCAATGCTAGTTGCTGCTGGGCTGGGACCTCCTCTGTGCTCCTTCTGCACAGGTCGCTCGCGTGCCCAGCAGTGAGGCCGATGACAGGATGATGTCATATCCCGGCGCCTGGCTCACTGCAAATATAATTAAGCTTATATTTATTGGTCCCTCTAACAAATGCAATATCTTCATACAATACACACGCACAGGCTGCCGGGTACACGCACACACTCACAGACTGCTGAATACACACTGACATACATCAGTGAGGGGTGCTGTGTGTGCATGAGGGGTGCAGTGTGCGTGAGGTGCGATGTGTGTAAGGGGTGCTCTGTATGTATATGAGAGGTGTGGTGTGTCTATGTGAGAGGTGTTGTGTGTGTGTGTGTGTGTGTATTTGAGGAGGGTGCATAGGGATAAGGTATTTTTTAATTTTTTATTCATTTTTAAAAAGCTTCATGTTCTCCCCTCCCCCACCCTTCACCCTTCCTTCCTACCTTTGAAAGAGGGAGGGACTCTGCCAGCTCTGGTGGTCCAGTGGTGAGTAGTGATGAGTAGGCCCTTCGTCAGTGAGAGGTAGGACCTGGGAGGCAGTTCCTCCTGCGAGTATGCTGGTGAGTGTTGCCATGGCAACGCTCCAACACAGCATTCTGCTCGCGGGAGGAGTGAAGACAGCCTGCAGCCAGAGGAACTGCATGCTGTCTTCACCTCTCCCGTGTGCAGAATGCTGTGTCGGAGCATTGCCGTGGCAACACTCTCACCAGCATGCTCGCAGGAGGAACTGCTCTCACTGACAAAGTTCCTTTGGGCTGCAAGTGAGCAGGGCTAGCTCTCCGTGGCCCGGCAGGGAAGATCAAAGGATCTCCCCTGTCGGCCCCTTATGCACATGGGAAACAGTTTATGGAAACTTGCCTGTTCAGCTCAGCTTTACTCCAGAAATCCTAAAGACTACATAAGGAATACCTAGAAGAAGGATTGGGACATCCTACTAAGAGTCCCTCTGCACTACCCATGAGAGCCATATGTTATTATTTAGCTCCAGGCTTGTGAGTACTTGATTCCCACAATATTTGTGTATTATATATACTGGCAATATTGTACTATATTATTTTGTCTTTTAGCTACATCAGAATGTGTGATCCACCTATTGTATGTATTGTTTTTTAACATGGGGAAACAGTGCCCAGGCAGAAAAACGACCCTGAGTGCGGACAGCAACCAGGCCGAACTGCAAACGGCCCGGGCCGCGGATTGGACACCTCGGTCTTAGACGATAGGACTAAGAGATGCTTGATCCCCTGATTTTAATTTTATTAGTGCTCTAGAATCCACAGTTTCCCTGCCCCCAATAAGTCCTCATCACCAGTACTCACATTTGTCCAGGATTCTTCAATACAAAGCCAAACTCACTACTCCCACAACCTGCCAAGTCAACCCCTGCCCCTCTAAAATAAATACCCCTAACATCCTCTTCACTAAATAATCATTGGGTATAACACCAGTTACCAACACAATCTGTATACATTTTATAGCTTTTGGTCTAAACCAGGCTTCCGCAATCTCCGGCCCTCCAGATGTTGCTGAACTACAACTCCCATGATTCTATGAATGAAATAGGCTAAAATCATGGGAGTTGTAGTTCAGCAACATCTGGAGGGCCGGATTTTGGGGAAGCCTGGTCTAAACAATAAGCTATTTTTTTATATTTATTTTTTTCCCCCTACATTCTAAAGTATTTCTTCTTACTAGTTTCTCTATGTACATGCAGCTCCCTCTCGGTCTCTCCTAAACTGTAGTGTCCAATAACACAGTTGTACATGTTATTAGGAAGCAAAGTTTTCTGGGAATTGTAGATCAATTTAACGTTTTCATACATTACGAGCTGATGGCAGAATTACAAGTATGAG